TTTTTTTGTTGTTGTTTTTTTGTTGTTGTTTTGTTTTTTTGCCTTTTTTAATTTAATAGTATTTTTCCCCTAGTTATTTTAGTTCTCAGTTTTTGCATAGTTTGCATTATTTTTGTTCTATTATTGCAGGTTTTGAAGTTTTGTTTTTATGATTTTGGGGTTTCCTTCAATTCCATTGTAGGGGTGGAATAAAGATTTCCTGAATGGGGTGGAAACTTAAGTTTTTATGACTTAGGTCAACATTAAAAATTCATTAGTAAAAGTTCTTGTATGGTTTAGTAATCGTTTGCTGTTTTGGTTTAATCAGTCTTTTTATTAGACATTAATAACATTTATGCAATTATTATGATTGTTTTTTTCCGAATTTACATTAATTAAAATATGTAAGTTCCGTTAATTTCTTTGACAATTTATTCCTTTGATTTTTATTTTTTTGTTTTTGATTTATTCAAAGTTTATTTTTCTTTTTATGGTTTGGTTCTATTTACATTTTTTGATGGTATCAGTTTGGTCATCGATCATTTGTACTACTTCCTTATTTTAGTACATTGTTTTTTGGATTTATGTTTAGGCAGTTTATAATTATTTTTTCTTTAATTTAGTTGATCAATGATTGATCAAAAWGAGGGGAATGTCCTGGAAAATAATTATACCTCTCTGCTGATTATTAAGTTCATATTGTCTTGACATTTCAATTGGTATCTTTTTGATAACTGCTACGATTTGTCATTATCTGGTTGATGTCCTTCCTCGTGTAATCTGGAAGATTTGTCACTTCCTCATTGGTTGTTCACTGCTCCGCCTGTTTGTATAAGTTACTTCCTGAAACTTTGTTGTGTTTTTGCTGCGTGATTAGACCCTCTGTTCAGACCTGCTCACGCCGTGACCATTTTGCAATTGCAAAATCTGAATAAATCATGACGACCATCCACGATGTGCATCTTCTTTTTATTCACGTGTTTCTGCCTTGGTCATTTATATTTCCACAACAAAGTATTTGTGTTTGCAAAGCCGTTGCTACATTTACATTCCTGTTCAGGCTCCTATTCTTGTTTCAGTTCGCATGTATATAGGTTTATGTTGGAATGATACCAACATGAAGCCACTGTCTGTAAACAAAGTACCAACATTTTTGCAGGATACTGTTAGCATTTCTTCCTGTTACTGACTCAGGCCCCACAAGGTTTCCATCTTAAAAATTCAACTCTCTCTCTCTTATGAAGTTTATGTGTGGACAGAGTTGTTGTTGTTGTCGTCATTATTATTATTATTATTATTATTATTATTATTATAGACATGATTCTCAGCTCATTAACTCACTGTTTAGTATTCCAGGCAGACTTTTTAGCTCATTCAGTCTGAGGCTGTAGACTGGAGTTTTCAGGTTGCGAATAAATCAAAACAAATGATGTCATTACCTTATGTATGTTTTGTTTGTTTGTTTTTATCAGTCAGCCAGGCTGCAGTTCACTTCCACCATGTGTTTCTAARTTATAATTTCTAATGTGCGACAGTTACTATTATTACTAAATTATTTGCAAAATTAAACACCATTGGTTTAATACATTTAGTCATAAGTAAGCAAACAGGTGTCTTTGCACATCTTCCAGCTAATTCCAGTATTTCGTTCTGCAGAGCAACTAATGTTCAAGAAATAAAAATGCTGCRTCTAACTTCCTTTACGTCTTCCCCCGCAGGTCGTGGGAGTCGCAAAGGAGCTTTGCAGATGTGCATGTCCTGCCACGGCACAGGGATGCAGGTCCGCATGCACCAGTTGCTTCCAGGTATGGTTCAGCAGGTGTCCACAGTGTGCCACAGCTGCCAGGGTCAGGGACAGAGAATTAACCAGAAGGACCGCTGCAAAACCTGTGGAGGCCGGAAGATACTGCGGCAGAAGAAGATCCTGGAGGTCCACATTGACAAAGGTGAGTGAAAAGGAGTGCGTTTTTCAAAATCTATCTGCTCGCGTTTGACACTACAAACGTGACAAACACATGACCTGACTGTCACAGGAATGAAAGAYGGTCAGAAAATCATTTTCCACGGTGAAGGAGACCAGGAGCCAGGACTCGAACCCGGTGATATCATCATCGTCCTCGACCAGCAGGAGCATCCGTTTTTCACCAGGTAAAACCGGCTCCGGAGGTTTTTGATCAACTGAGCTCTAAAGAAGTTAACACTTGGAAGTTACATACCTGAACAAAAAACACGTAGTCCAATCTGAAGCTAAGATCCTGTTCACTCATGAACAATCTCTGGAWATATTGGTGTTTTTTCAGTGTTGAAAATGATGTGCACAGAAAGGAAAGGGAGGGGCTTTGACCCTAAACCCTATCTTTAAAAAACTTAATCATCTACAAACGCTGATGCCAGATCACTCACTGGTGCAGTGATTTTTGTTGACTCTGTTGTTGTCATCAGGAGAGGAGAAGACCTGCTCATGTCGATGGAGCTGCAGCTGGTTGAGGCTTTGTGTGGTTTCAAAAAGCCCGTTCAGACGCTGGACAACAGAACTCTTCTCGTCACGTCACATCCAGGTAACCGGATCAGTCAGCAAAAATGCTGCTTGAGTTGGTAAATGGAAAGAGGTGATCTGCATTTAGAACAAAGCAGAATAAGATGCAGGTTTAGGACAGATCTAAACTTTATGTTTTGTACAAAATAAATTGAACTGAATGAATTCTTACCTGATTTTTTTTATTTTTTATTAATGGGTGTAAATACAAGCTATAAAGCCGTTTTTAATCATTTGCAGGGTTGTTCGAAGGGATATGCTGTCTCAGGTTTATTAAGGCAAAGGTAACTTGTTTCTTTTGTTTCGTTTTGCAAATTAGGAGAATTAATCAAGCCTGGAGACACCAAATGTGTGTTAAATGAAGGAATGCCCACATATCGCAGACCGTTTGAAAAGGGACGTCTTATTATCCACTTTTCGGTAAGAATTTCTAAAATAAAGTTTCTTCACTTTCCTCTTTAAATTGCTGGTCTTTCTTTAATGCTTTATGTGGTTACTTCCTGTAGGTGGTGTTCCCTCCAGCCAACTTTCTCCCCAAGCGCAAGCTGAAGGAGCTGGAGCGCTACCTGCCAGGAAAGCTGGATGCAGAGCAGCCAGAGAGCATGGACGAGGACCTCTACATCTACGCCGACCTGGAGGACTGTGACTTGGAGAGCAGAAGGCGACACAGACATCAGTACTACTACATGGATGAAGACGACTACGCCAGCACCGGCGGCGTTCAGTGCCACACGTCTTAAAGCACAGCTTGGCCTCTGCTGGTTCCAAATTCCTTCTCTCTGATGCAACAATGCACCTTGTTGGAAATTTGTGCACTTTTTTTTTCAACTTGTTGCTTTTCATAGTTTAAAAAAATTTTGGAATCTTAAAATGGTGTCACAGATCCCTGTTTGTTCACATTGATTTTTTAAAGGAGTGTTAAAGCAGAGTTTGCTCAGGTTCCAGAACTTGATTTTTGGACTACTTCTTTTTTTTATTATTATTTTATTTCATTTCTGGGACCAAGTTTTGATCCTACCCCACTGTGGTTAAAAATGAGTGCAGGTGTCACAGGAAAGATAAATATGTTGACATTCTGCTTTTAAAGCATTAACACTAAAACTTATGCCAATATTAACATGATTATAACCTTTTTACATATAGTGTTAATCAGTGGTGGCAAACCACGTTTGGAGGACTCATCCGTTCATTTGGGTTCAACGACCCAAAGTTCAGGTCATAGTGRTGGATATGTGTTGAAACATTTATGCTGGCTTACCCTTTTCAAGGGCTATTTCTAAAACATTTCTAATCATTCTTGAAAATGTGATAAAAATGCTTGGAGGCGTTCAGGTTCAAGCCACTGAGTTGTAGAATATTTAAACTAATATTTAAGTTTTGTTTCATGTTTGACCTCGTCTGAGCTGAAGTTTTGTCTGGGAGCGTCGCATCGGGTGCATAGACAAGTTTGTGCGTGTTTTTCTAAGTGTAATGTCGGGGTGGGGAACAAGCATTTATAGATGTTTTAAAAAGGCCCCAATACCTGAGTTGTGACATTTCCAGAACACACTGAACGATTTAAAGAAAAATGCTGCTGTYGTGCCGTGATCACAGAAAACTAAGAGGTGCCAAGTTGAAGATGAAAAGGAACTCAGTTCAGGGCTTTTATTTTATTTTCAAATCAGAAAAAGAGAAATATGAAATCTTAAAATTTCTTAATGTAGATAAAAAAAAAGGCAAATCAAAATAGAAAGTGCCACGTTTCTGGTGTTTTGTGTTGGGAAACAGGTTGTGAATTATTTGTCATGTTTCCCTTCCCTGAATGCCAGATGCATCATGGGAAGTTATGAAGAGACTTCAAATTGGCAACCCTGACACCTCACAGAAGTGTCTGCCTGCCTGTTTCAAAGCCTTATCATAACCTGAAGTAGCTTTTTAAAGTTATTTTTTAAGTGATCATTATTGCCTTGAATATCGCAGAAACACCATTATTCCCACAGAGGAGGAACTTCAATGTGCAGTAAAGGAAAGTAAAATGTCCATTCCTCAAATTAAAGAGGAACCAAAACTAAAACTTTTTAAAGGTGTTAATTTAACAAGCTTGGATCAAGAATGTTTGTGGTCATGCTTAATAAATGTTACTTGAGGTTTTATTAAACTGATGTTTGATCGTCTCTAGGTGTTTGAACAAAGAGAAACYGTAATAAAAGTATCCAACCTCTTTTTTTAATTATTTTTTTCGGCAAGTAGATCAGTTTTTTTTTTTTTTTTTGGCATATTTGTTTACACCAATTTGTTATATATTTCCTCTTGAGAGGTTACAAACAAAATAAACGAAACTCAAAAAGAGGCTTGCAGGTCTGTCTGAAAATGATTACATTTTTTCCTGTTTTCCTTTTGTTCTGATATTTGAAAYACTCCCTCCTGACATGAATAAATATACAGAGACAATATTTTATAGTCTACCCTAAAAAGACRTTTTCTCTGTCCTAAAGTATTTTCAAATTTTAACAACACAAAACAGCTTAATTCAAGCTACTTTTAGCTTCTAGTTATCTTTTCAGCTTTAGATTGCTATTTTAAACTAGAGTACAAGGCACTGAATCACTGGAGTTTTTTAATTTATTGATAATTCTTTTTTCAGTGGTTTACATAATGCAATAAGTATTAAAAATAGAGTGCAATGACTTGACATTGGTGTATAACAGATACATATATAGTGCAAGTAATACTGGCCGAATACCAAGTACAATTAAACACAGCTACAGTTTGCACACTGGATACAGAATGTGTCACTGGAAGTTCATTAGAGGTCCACCATTTACGACCATGCATATATCAAAAGACAGAAATTATTGCAGAGCCATGTTTAGGCAGTGAGCTGAGGTAGCATGCAGGGAACAAACCAGATTCAATAAATCAACAACAAAAAAAAAGCTGGTTAGGGTTTGATACTGTTTGTGTTTGTYCAAACATGAGGCAGTAACAGAAAAGTTTCTGACGACAGTTCACCATCATGCACTTTGTGACGGCTAAAGACAGAAGCGATGAATCAAAAAGCTCAAGAGGAAGAGTTTATGTGCAGAGTGGAGGAACTGACAGAGTTAAAGGCTTTTGGAAAATAAATTCATATTTGAAAAATAAAACAGCTCGAGCACTTTGTACACGAGGACAGGTACAACAATGTTTTGGAATAAATGCAGTATAAAATATGGATTAACCCTAACTTTCATTGGAGATATTACATTTTTTGCAGTGTATTTGTTGTCATCCATTAGCCAAATTAATGCCATCGACTACAAATGAATTGCTGTGTTAATTCTTTAAGAARCAGTGGTGGCAAACACACATCTTACAGATGGATTTTCTGCCCTGTTATGACGTTCAAAGGTTTCTGTGGCGATGTGAGTTATAGTCAGCTCTAAGAATCAGCTCAGGCAACAAAAAKAACTTTTAAGCTCCTGATGACAACTTTACAGAAGAGGATTAGGGCCACAGAGCAAAAAATAAAGCAATAAAAAATAAATTTACTGAGTTCTGACTTTTTTTCTCTCAGTATTCTGAGATTAATTCCAGAACTCTAGAAAAAAATCATGTTTTTTTTTTTTTTTTACTCTGTGGCCCTACAACTTCCAAACACCTGTCTGTCTACTGGTAAAGACTGGTGCATGACCAAAACTTTATGCACAAATGAAACTGCACACAGATGAGCATGCTGGTCRTAGTTCATGGTTTCCAAAGCCTCAGTAGGCCGTCCTCACTGTATGTGGCAATCAGGTTCTCATGCGGGTGGTGAGCGATGCCAATTACGTCTCTCTCGTGAACCTGTGGGTGCAGAGAGGTCCATAGATGATTACATGTTCTTACCCCACCCCCCCAATGGCCCCCTGTTTTCCAATCTGCTCAACAGTAAGACAACAAAATGAGTAGATGAGGATAATTGTTGTGTCTTAGCAGCAGGGCTTACAGTCAGAGTTTTCTCCAGTCTTCCTGATGTGCAGTTGAAGCAGTAGAGCACACAGTCTTCTCCCACACAGTAGATCCACTCCCCGCGGGGCGACAGGGTGCAGCACACAAAGCCTGCTGCTCCTGCTCGCTCCGAACAGAACGTCTTCACAGTCTGAGGAGGAACAGGGAGCAGCGTTACGCCTCCAACACCACGTTCATGTCTTTTACATGGTACGCAATTCGTCAGGATTTTTTTTAAAAGATGAAAAGATCATTGCATTCATCATAAAAATGGAGTCAGTTAACTTAGAAAACCAATAAACCTGGTTGGAACATTTTAACTTATTGATTACCACTCCGTTTTCCTATTTTATAGACRTTGAGCTTGAATTTGGCAAGCTGTGGGTCATCTACAACATGTAATCTGAGCACAGCTTTCGTGCAATACATGCTCCTTCAAGAAATTATATTTTCTTATATGGTTTTAAATAGAAAAATATTTCTCTATCTGTGCTAACTTTAGAAACTTTAAAATGCTGCTAAAAACACTTTTTTTTTATTTCACTCTGTCAATTCTTTCCATGTGTTTCACCCATCACAGATGTCAGCACATGTGGAGCAAAAGGCTGCTGGAGGGTTAAGAGCCTTGCTCAAGGGCCCACAGTGGGGCAAACATGGGTGCTTCCCCAGCTAAATTCTTTGTGCCWGTCCGGGAATTCCAGCCTGCCTCCTCCCAATCACCTCCTTTAACCTCTGAACCACYTGTACTCATTGACATTTGACAAAAGAAGAGCTTGACAATGTTGTCTGTACTTTTATGTTTTCTTGTGTGTCTGTCTTTTGAGATCTCGCATGTTTGTTTTGATTGTCATGTTTGCCATACAGCACTTTTTCTTTTCTTGTTTGTGAAGTACTTTGAAAATCAAACTGACATTAATGTTTTTAAATGATCTTGAAGCAAAGAAGGTGTTTTGGTGTTTGTTTCCTGCATGTGTCGATGCTAAATGCTAAGCAGCTGTGGTTTGCAGGATTAGTTTTACTGGAAAATAAACATTTTACTGTTTAAAAAGGTAAAAGAAACAATAAATGCAACCATTTCTGAGAAATTATGAGCACTACGTTTTCAGTTTTTTATACTGCACTGAGTTACTGTATCAGCTTTGAAAGCAGAACCTTGCCCACTATGGATGATACCGAGTCCAGCTGCAGAGCTCTCACCTGACCACGCATGCTCACGATGACCACTGTGTTGGTCTGGTTACAAACCAAGAACTGCTCGGGGTTTTGGGGAAGAGGAATCACGTTGTTGACCGGCACGTCCGACGCCGGTGACGGACACTTGAAAGTKTGAACGCACTCGCAAGATTTCATGTTCCAGATCTGAAAAGACGCACAGAAGAGGTAAGCTTCCAGGAGACTCCCAGCTTGCGYAACGTTACAAATGATGTCCTGCAGGTGGATTGCTGCACCTTCACAGCTCCATCAGAGGATGCGCTGATGACGTGAGAACCATCACGAGTTAAAGAAGCATCATTTACAAACGATGAATGGCCCTTTAACTCCTTTAGCATCTTCCCTGACCTCAGCTCATGGATTCTGAAAAAAAAAAAATGACATCACCGATTAGCTGCGTGACAAACAACTGCAGCATTGACTGATTTGAACAATCATCTGATTGGGAATATATATATATATATATTTTTTTTTTTTTTACATGGAAACGTGTTGCTGCCGTGCTATTTTTAGCTCCAGTTGAGTGACTGAGTGCAGATCAGCTAAACCATGACAAAACGCCTCACGCCTGCTGATTCACTCTGTGTCTTTGCAGAGGATTTACAATTTGTGAAGAATATTTCATTTTTTTTCTCTCTCTCTCTCAGCTTGGGGAACAGCAAGGAGAGGAACACGTTGCAGCTTTGTGCCTGAGCACATGAGGTACCTCAGCTGCACCCACACAGCACATGTGCCTCCAATAAATTCAGCAGAGAGGCTCAGCCCACACCCCAACAGGAGGCAAAAATAACATTCAACCCCACCTCTGTGGGAAGGGGCTCCAGTCYATGTGTGCAGGACGTAAAGAAAGTGAAAAACAAACAGGAACTGCTAATTTACAAAGATGCCWATTGGTTCAGTTTTTGGAAGTGRGGTYCTGTGGAAAGRTTATATCTATACCTACTATTTATGTACAACCAAAAAGGATGATGTCATCTTTAAGCAACTTGTGTTTTAAAAATCTCGGCAGTTTGTGCAAAAAACATTTTATAAATCTTTAAATTTATTTTCAAGCATTAATAGCTCAGCAGCACTCATATTCGTATTCATTACAAATATATGTTCTGATTACCAGTATGTTTTTTTACTTGTTACTCACCCACTTTTTCACATTTTAATAATCCACAGTGAAATACAAAAAAACAATAGCTGCCTCCTTCCTCCTGCTGTTCTGACTCCTTCCAAACTTTTGTGAATCRTGTCTGAGGTCAGGAAGATATCTTTCTTTTTTTCCTTCCTCCCACAAGCAAACATCTACCCSAACAAGAATCTGTGAAACTAAACAAAGCTCCTGCCTCGTGTTTTCATTYTTCTTCTGAATACATTTCAGTGTTAAATTGTAAGATGAAAAAAAAAAGCCTCAGTCGTTTGAGTTCAGTTAAATCCCACCTGATGGTTTGGTCAAAAGAGGCACTGAGGATCTGGTTGCTGTCCGTGGAAAAACTCAGACACGTCACGCCTTTGTTGTGAGCGTGCTCGAACCTGCGCACGCACAGGCCGCTTTGGATCTTCCACACCTTCGCCGACAACACAGACAAACATTTCTGTGACACTCGCGTTGGCTTTCAAGCTTTTATATTTCAGTACCTTATTATTAAATCTGAAAATTCTGTGGGGTTACACGTGTTTATTTGTTGCTTATTTGAGCAAAAGTTTCAACAAATCTGACCTTTATTTTGCCGTTCTGAGCTCCTGTTGCCAGCAGCTCTGAGTCATGACTGAAGCACATACAGAGCACAGCATCATCCATCATCATGAAGCTGTCCTGGGCCTGGTACTTCACATCCTACAGCAGGTCAGGGCCCAAAACACAGACAAATCAAGAGTTAACAAGAGTAAAAGCGTTCCTCAAAGCCATTTTTGTGTTGGCTTTGATTAGTTAGCCTAATTTGTGTTTGCATAATATGCTCACTGACAGAACAGACAAAGATTTAGTAAGGTTTTACTCTTTTTTTAACTAGTATAACTTTGTCCAAACGAATAACAAAAAAAAAAGCCATAATAAAAATGAAAAGTGCACAGTGTTTGGTGTGATGATACCTTGCTAATTTTTCCACTGTTGAAGTTCCAGACCTCTATGAAGCCGTCCACTGATCCGGTGATTAAATACTTTCCGTCAGGCGAGAAACGGGCACACTCCACATGTGACCTCTGTCCAAACTGCACATTCAAACCACACAAACTACAGTTCATTTCAACGCTTGAGCGGAAACACAACATCCTGCTGGAACCAGAACCACAGTCAGATGAGCAGTCTGACATCAGGCTGTGACCTCAAAGAGACAAAAACTTTCAGCTGTCTGAGCTGACCTCATCACAACAGGGACGATCGTTTTGTGTACTGTTGAACTAGGCATTTTCCTGGTGGCCATCTTTGTAGTTCTTTATTTTTAGTCCCTCATTTTATGGTTATCTTAAGTGGGGTTGTACAATTTTCTGAAAGTTTCATTATGATCCTGTCATTAATTCATGAGATATCTTGCTAACAGTAASAAAACATAAGGTGTCTCTTTAAAACTTAAAGCTCTGACTCAGAGATAGTGCAAAAAAGCTTCAGTCAATTGCAGAATAGTATGAATAATTAGTCAGTATTAATCATTTTCATAATATATTTGTTAATCTTTTGCAGTTGGTGGTTTAGACAAAAGTCAGGAGGAATCATAAAAGTATTCCATCCCAGTTAGATTAGAACCCATAAATCAGGTGATGAAGAATCCAGCCGCTTGTCCTTGAGAATTAACGGGGCGTTGACTCAGTATAATGAGCTTTTGACTACAGAAAACAGATTCAGACAGTCTGGGGCGACAGACACACACTGTCTCCAGGTGATGTTGGCTGTGATTTTCCTGCCGTTTCTCTGAGAGCTCTTATAAATTGTTTTGTGGTTGTCTTGTTTCAATATCTGGTGTGTGATAAATTCACTCAGTACAATTTTCTCAGTTTAGCTGTTTTCAGACAAACAAAATCGACGAGATCAAATTTGAGCCAAAAGATGGAAATTCAGAACCCAGCAGTACCTTTATGTGGCGGTACAGCTGCGTTGGAAAGGCTTCTTTCTCCTGTTTTTGCTCCTTGCTGCAGGACGTGTTGATGGTTGTGTCAGGGGAGAGATAGCGTGGATGCTGCTGCCGTCTCACGTTCTGCAAAAAAAAAAAAAAAAAAACATTTGGATGAAAAATGCTTTGAACGCTCATTTTAATTCTGATTTAGTATTGTCCAGTAATGTGAATAATTCGATTACACTGCATTAAAACATTTCTGGAGGTGACACCGCATGCATGGTCCCATTACGACAGGTGGGGTTCAGTAACATGAATTCCCTTGTCATGCCATTAGTCAGAGCGCTGAGCAGAATATTGATCTGAATACTCACACTGACTGTTTCCAGGAGCCCAACGAGGCGAGAAGGCGGCACCACGCTGACCTCCCTCACCAAAGCCTCTGCGATCGCTCTGCGCCGCTTCTCTTTGCTGCTGCCTTTCGGGTACGCCTGCAGACCAGACGAAGCCTAATGAAACCCTCTCAGACACGATTGATCGTTTCAATTCATGCTGTTTGTTTTTTTGTTCATTTTACCTCACGAGGGTCAAAGTAAGAGCACGTCAGCAAATTCTCCAAGTGGGTGTATCTGTCTGGCTGGGTCTGCTTCAGCATAATCATCGGGTCGGTTTGTCTGAGGAGAGAACGAGCGGCTCCCGCCTCCCTCATCTCTATCAGCTCCATCACAACCTGTTGAGCCAGATCAGAGATGCCGATCGTCAAATCCAGCTGAGGGACACACCTGAAGATCAAACCGAAGCCCACCTGCTCGTAGAGGTCGATGAGCGTGTTGTCAGGCAGCTTGAGGGACTCGATGGCCATCAGAACCGAGTCCCAGTGGCCTCTGTTTATGTCTTCCATAAAGCTTTCGATGCTCTCCACCGTGTTGAGGGTGACGGTGGTTTCCTCCTGTAAGGTGCTCAGCGTGCGGTACAGGTTATTCTCCTTCAAGTACTGCATTATCAGACGCAGCACGCTGCAGAGACGCAGAGGGAAACTGTCGGATTCATCGCAGACTGATAAAAACACAGAAACACTGCAGCCTTTGTGAAACCCTTCACACTTTGAATCATCCCATCAAAACATGTCAAAGATTTTGAACCCAGTTTTGATTTGTTWTCTGACCTTTTTTAATTGTTAGACCTCACCTTTTTCTTGTTTTGCTTTATTTTTTTTAATAAAAACTGTATTTATTATCGACTTTGTAGTGTTTCCATAAATMTAAATTAAAGTAACATTCTGTGAAAAGACATACCACCTGATGTTTCGCATGCCAAAGTAAAAAAAATAAAAATAAATATTTTGCACCACTTTTGTGTTGCTTGTCAATTTCCTAACCTTTCTCCTCATCACCAGTTGAAAACATGATCTCAATAATAATTTATGTTRGTCATTGTGCTGCCAGAAAAATGAACTTTAAATAAAGCCTTAGAAATCTTTATTTACGTAAATGCAAAAAAATAATAAAAGTTACTGAAAAAACTGCTTTGATTGTTTGAACATGTTTTTGCTCCATGGTGAGAACCATTTTCCAAAAAAAGGCAGCCTGGTTTAGGATCAAAGTGCGAATTGAGTTTAGGTTAGTTTTAGTGTCAGGTAAGGTTAATTTTAAGGTAAAAGTTCAGGGTTAGGCTATAAGTTACCAGAAAATGAATGGAAGTCAATCCACGGTCCCCACGGGGATATAAAAACAAGCCCATGTGTGTTTGTATCCACTTAATTACAAATGCACCTGAAGGTTAAGGAATCATGTCCAGCTTCTGATTTTGATCAAACATGCACCAAATTAATAACAAAACTGAATAAAACACCCAACAATATGAAATTTAACTTTGAATGACCTGTGTGAACACAGTCATCAAATCTGATGCGGCTATTCTTAATCAGATTAAAGGAAATGACAGTGGGAGAATAAAGCAGCAGATCTCCAGGCGGAGGAACCATCAGATCAACAAGAACAGGTGGGTGAAATATTAGATGCTGAGCTGCAAAACATCCTGGGGAAGCTCGTCTCTCGGTKTAATTAGTGAGATTAATTGGCTCAGTGCAAGCCCTCACCAGCGTTTCTACACTCAGTGATCTCAAAAAACCAGAAGCTTTTTTTTTAATAACAACAGCTTTAGAAGTTGAATCGGATGAAAATATCAACTTTGCCACGCAAGCGCACGAACACCGATAAAATCAGGGTTAAAGACATGTTTGAAATTTATTTACTGCCGTTTTGAGCTTACATCTTATAAATGACCAAGTTAAAACTTGCCAWATTTGGACTTTTCCTAATGAACAACACGTGCAAAAATCCCCTCCATACTGTTTTAAGTGAATAATTCCCACACAGAAGAGCAGACTTACTCTGCAGGCTCCAGCTCCACAGCCATGATGGTCGGGATGTGGTCTCCTGCTGCTGCTGCCGCACCGGACTGATGATGATGACGGTGTGGAGGCTTGGCTACAGAGCCACGTGAAATCCGCGTGCCAGAGACCACCCACCGCACGTGCCTTCTTTTGCATCTCACATATTTATTTATTTTTTTCTCTCCCACCCCCAAACCCTTTGTGACTGCCTCTGGAGTGTCAGAGCATCTCCTCCTCCTCTTTGACGCAGGCCGCTTACTAGAAGAAAGATGCTCCTGAGCACGTTGTGTGCGGCAGAGAGGCGGGATGCTGCAGCCGCAGCATCAGCACCACCACAGGCAGAACCTCGTGTTCCAGAGCGTGCACCCCACCATGGAAACCCCCCCACCCCCTGTCTGCACACCAACAGGCAGAGGTAAAGCATGTTGACTTAGAGGTTGTTTATTTCTATGTTTGTATATCTGTCTCCTCTTTCCCTTTATGACAACAATAGGGAAAATTTGACCTTTTCAAAAATGTTCTTTTAAAAAGGAATTTTATAAACTAGTCAATATTTTAGCAGGAATTAGAAATATCAAATTTAAATTACTTTTTTAAAAATATGTTGGCTATAAGTCAATTTACTGTCTGCTTGACTCATGGACCTCAACCGCACGACTATAATCCATCAGCTTCAGCTGGACCTGGACATGAGGACAAGTTATGACTGAAGTGGGGGGTTTAAGAATATATAGAGCAGGGGTGCCCAAACATTTTCCCTGAGAGGGCCAAAATAAAAATCGATCTGAGTGCTGCGGGCCAAACGCAGTTACAGTATGTATGAAAAGCAAATACTTCCTAAATAAAGTTGTTTTTTTATTATTAAGCTGGCAGCCAGTATGGTAAGACTTTTCATAAATTAATTTTTTTGCATTTCAATTCAACTCATTTTAATAAAAAAATACTTTATTGATCCCAGAGGGAAATTAGATGTAGAAAATTTTTGAAAGATTTGTGATCTTAAAAAGGTATGCAAATCTAGACGTGTGCTTAATTCTAATCTAAATGCCTCTTGTAGTTACTTGTATTTTATGATTGATCTTAATACAACGCACAATAAATTACACAGAATTGGTTAAGACAATCTGCAGCACAGTTCCTTGTATAATTGGATCATTGGTCAGAATGAAAGTGGAAATATAGTGTTTCTACATAAGACAGGAGAATACAACCTAGTAGCCAGGACAACTGCTGGTGGGCCAAATCAAATGGCTTAACAATTTTGGCCCGCGGGCCACACTTTGGGCAGTTCTGATATAGAGGAATGAGAAGATGATTTGAAGTATTAGTGAAGTTAACAACAAAGACTTGAAAAATATAACTTAATCTAATCTCAGAAATGAACACCTTGGGTATAAATCTTGCCTAAAAATATTACTTGTTGAAATACCAAATGTTATTTAGATAAGCCTGTTTATATCAGCTACTGGAGAAATGAGTGGGTTAAGAATTAGAGACATATCCTCCTCACAGTGCTTGCTCTGTCTTCTGAGCAATAAAATTAATAATTTTTTTCTTTCAGTTTAATGATGCGGGTCAGTGATTTATTTATAGCCTAGTGTCACATTTTTGAAAATAACTATTGAGACTGTAAGGCTGGCATTTTGGGGGGACAAACAAAAAGAAAAAAAAAAGGCAAGCCCGAGCACATCAGTTTACAAAAAGCTGAAATATCGCGAGACTTGGCTCCACCTTCAACAGGTGAGCGCTAATTGCTTGCAGGAGGACGCTATTTGAGCAGATTTTCTTCCTTCACCCGGCTTTCTGAACGATAAAGTTTTTTTTTCTTCTTTGAACCTTTTTATCTCAAATAAGGTGATCAAAGAGGTTTGAAATTTGCGTGTTTTTTTTTCTGTGTTGCTCTGAAAAGTGAAAAAATGCCCCAGAACAACAACAAGGTGAGCATATTCCCCACTAATTAGGTCTAAACTTTCTTTAACTTTACAGTCTTAACTATTCATAAATTCACTATTTATGTATATTAAATATTTTTTATTGTTTCAGAAAGTACCAAGTGCAATTGACAGGGTTGCCAGTCTGCCTGTGGTCCTTTCAGCTTGTTCCACATTATCAGTCCTGTATAAAGACACTAAAGACAGGAACCCTAGCCTGAAGTCTCTGTGTGAAGGCCTGGAGAGAAGAATGGCCAGTCTGACCACTGCTGTGTACTCCAGGGTTTCACCTGTCATTGTTAAACTGGAGCCCAAAAGTGAGTTCTAGGTTAGGATGAAGAATTTTATTGAAAAATCATCATCTGCAACAACAAAAGTACATTTTTGAGTCACAGACGCATTGTTCTTGTTGATGCAGCTTCTATATTTTGTCAAAACATTTGTTCCTAATCTAAGGGTTTGAAAGAAGCATTCATATTAAGTCGTTCTCATGCATTTCCAGTTTCTGCTGCAAATTACGTTGCGTGCAAAGGTCTAGACTGGCTGGAGACCTCATTTCCTGTGCTACAGTCCCCCACAGATGAGGTATCTCCTAACTCTCTTTATCTCCATTAGTATAAACTTGTATATAAATATAGAACCGACTCATTCACACAGGTGGTTGCTGCTGCCAAGAACAAGATGGGTGACCTTCAGGGGGTGGTGAGCGATGCAGCCAGTGGAGCTGCTGAGTGTGTCCAGCACACGGTCTCATGGGTGGTGAGCAGGATCCCCCAGGTTGAGGATGATGATGGAACAAACCAGTCTTTGGTGCAGAGAGCCATCAGAGTGACCACTCTGGGATTAGACTCAGCCTTGACCTTGTCAGAGACCCTGATAGATGATGTGTTTCCACCAACAGAAGAGGATAGAGGTACGTGGCATGAAAGCAGATTGTGGCAAAGCTTGAGGTCATGAATGATCAACACTTGTCTTTGTCTCTGCAGAAAAAGCTCACTTGGAGGGATCGAAGGCTGCTGCTCCCAGCAGAAATTACCCAGTGCGACTGATCAGACTCACCACCAAGCTGTGTCAGAGGTCCTACCATGCTGTCTGCTTAAAGATCCAGTTTGTTCAGGTGTGCAGGAAACTCGTTAAGCATGAATCTTGAACCATTAAGAACTTTAAATATTTTCAGAATATATTTGACTTTGCTGACATTAAATACAATCGATTTTTTTCTAATGTAAAAAAACTTGATAAAAGGCTGCCTTGTTCCTGTTCTACAGCAATGTATTTGACTCCACAGGTCAGGGAGACTTTATCAAGGTCTACTGGTGTGGTTCAGGACCTACAGAAGAACTGTCAGACCCTGGTGTGGAGCCTTCGAGGACTGCCTCAGTACTTGCAGCATCAGACGGTTGCTGTGCTTTTGTTCTTCACCCAGATGTACAGCTTGGGACATCAAACGTCAAAACCAGAACGGTTTCAGGGCAGAACCGGCCTCAGGGTTGTCGGGGCATCGCCCTCCAGAGAACCGGGTCGCCTGCAATCTGCTTTGAGAACAAGGCCCACCAAGACGCATGCATTTGAGAATGGCTATAACGTTAAGGAATGTGTTCAAAGTTATAATCGCTGATTTATTTAATGTTCTGCTTGTTTTTGGATGTTGAAACTAAAATAAATGACTCAAACTCACTCTTTCYCCTTTTGGTTTACTCTGGCAGATATTTTTCATACATACACCGAAGCTGTGTAGCAGTTACTGAAAATACTGAGGTTAAAGACTTGAATTATGCAGTATCATGTCTCTCTTCCAACATGTTATGAAATCAGCTGCTCCTGTTTTGTAAAGTCCTATGATCAATTCAATTTAGATTGTAGTAAATTTCAAAAGGACCCCACTACCCAAAAGTGTACTCAGAACTAGTTTGATCAGAATCCCATCCATTGTGGCATGTGAACAAGTGGATAAAGATCTTTACAAATACAATTAAGCATCTTGTGTACATGTAATATTTAGTTGCACCAAGGAGTTAACTATTCAATGCTTCTATCCAGGCTCATTTTATAGTGCCAGCTTTAAATTCTGGGCTTAGGCACCTCCATAAAAAGACTTATTAATCACATTAATGCACTGACAGTTAAAGTAGTTTTTCAGCAAAACAAGACTTTATTTGACTTGTGGATTTCACTTTTGGCTGGACTCTGACTTGGATGTGGATGCCCTCAGGGAGGAAAGGCGACGCCTCTTGGCAATCTGTTCCTGGCGCTTCTCCTTTGCCTCCTGTTTAGAAATAAACAAAAGGAGTCAAACTTTAAGAACACAACAAGTACCTGAGTAGACCTTTTATTTTACCGTTGCCTCTTTACAGCTATTGGTTAAAGTGTCTGCCAATAACTGAAGATGTTTGGATTTTTTAAATTACAGCTTTTGTTTTAAATATTTAGCCAAATTCTTTATCCCTCTTATGTTGCCGTTATTTTTTATTTTTATTTTTTCAGTGCAATGACAGATGAATACATACAGGACAGAAAGGCCATACCTTCATCCTCTTTGCCAGCAGCTTGGCATACTCAGAGGCCTCCTCCTTGTTCTTCTGGGTGCGGTGTCTCTTCAGAGCGATGCGGCGGCGCTTGTGCTGCAGCACACGAGGAGTCACCAGTCTCTGGATCTTAGGAGCCTTGGTTCTGGCCTTCTTACCTGGTAGAGAGAGATTATTAATAACTACAGAAAAGAAAATCAACCTCAATGACAGAACATGTTTAAGTTAAATACAGGGTCCATGCATGTTTCAGTAAGTTAAGTTTAAGACCTTTTAAGACCAATAGGAATGATATTTAAGACCAAACTGATGCACTAACAAAAACATTCAAATGATCCCAAAAATTTTTAACATAGAAACCTTTTTATTGCTATCAACTTAGCTATGAAAGAATATTTAATTTTAATACAAGAACACCAAATTATTTTAATGAAATGGTCATATCTATGAGACCTTCATATTGACTGCTGTGTACTGTTTCCAACTGAGTAAAAAAAAAAAAAATCACTGAGATGAAGCCAAGTTTCACTGAAAACACGTTCCCATGTTTAAACCACAAGCAGGGTTAGGGTTACTCTGGTTTACTCTGTTTATTTATACAGCCAACACTTGTTAGGAATGATTAAAAGTATAAAAGACTTGACAAAATAAAATTTAAGACTTGGGATGAAATTAAGACTTTAGGCCTAAATTTTTGATTTTCAAATTTTAGACTTTTTARGACCCTGCATGAACCCTGTAAATATTGCAAGCTAGGAATGTGCGATATAAACGATATACGGTAGAAACGATATAAATTTGTCCTATGATAGAGATCTGTAGTCTATCGGCCAACCGCGCAATTCTTTTTGATGATGTAACCAGCTGGAGTCAAAACAGAGGAAGCGGGAAGCAGCCTGGCTGAGAGCGCAAATGGGAGGGACCCTGTGCGAAAATAAACGCCWAACTGTTTACATATTTATGTGACGGCGCGTCCTCCKGTCGGATGCCGACCGACCACACTGCCTGCGGCAGGAGGAAYGCGCCGCAGCACATGGTGACACAGCGAGGTGACAGTCAGTGCAGGTGAAGTAGTGCTCCAGGACTCACAAAGCTCGTTGGGTCTGGACCTCGTTTCTCTTGCGGTCATAGCGCGACGCCGCACGGCCGAATGCGTGCGCACTCCACACCCACTTTGCGCGTGTTCCAAAGCGCGACTATAAAAACTCAGCCTTTACTGTTTCCTTGTACAGCGGGGAAGCGCTGTAGGAAAGGGTGACAGACTGTCTTAAAAAAAAAAAGTAAGGCATAAACGGGATGATTGTCACTCCACCGGAGCGCTCACTGATTAAACACGAGGAGTTGCAGAAAAAAATAATCTGCAAAGTGTGTAGAAAGGAATAAATACAAACAATTTGTTTTACCACCTTAAAACAAAGCAGGTTATTCCAAACAACATCCAATGGATGCAGATATCTATTACATTAAAGTTATTGTGTGTGTGTGTGTGAGATATTTGATTTAACCAGGTAGRTCTCCCTTAAATTTAGATTTTTATGGGAGACTTAAAAGTGTCCCTTAAAAAAAAAGGAGATTTTAAGGTCTAAATTTTTTTTACCTATACATATTTATTCCACTCAATTAATGTGTGATTTATTTATTTATTTTCTATTATAAGTTTTATATCGTGATATATATCGTTACCGCCACCCATCATAATGTATATCGTGATATGAATTTTTTGCCATTATCGCACATTCCTATTGCAAGCTTAATTTTTTTGTTTGTTTTCTTTACAACAGCTTCTTCAAACTCCAAACTTTTCATAGGCGTTGGCAGGGATGCACAATGTATTTTTTTTTTTGGATATCTTAAAATATTTAGTATTCCAAGGGGGCCAATATTAATGACCGATTTTGTGGGGGGTAATTAGTTGAGTGGCATTGGTTTGATCATGGTAGTGACAGTGAAGTTGTGAAGCCAGGAATAACTGAAGCTGGAACTATGTCAGCGGTCTGGTCATTTTTTTATGTATYGAAAAAGACAACTGTATTTGTGCGTATATGTATGAAAACAATTTGTGTGTTTGTGTAATATATCGGTAAATATTGGTCATCGGCCATAACGTCAATACTGGATATCAATATCGGCTGAAATTTTCATACCTGTGCATCCCTAGTGCCAAYAAAAACTGAACTGTGTTTGTTCACTTAGTTTTGATGAGTAATGACTGATGAAGTATTTTTCACAGTAAGTCACTTTAATGTCTTAAGCCCTCTACTAAAACAATAAAACCATCAGTGCTGATGACTTCATTTATATGAACTCGATTCAAATAAAAACAAATGATGGCATTGCAATTTTCTGAGCACATCAACTTTACGCACTGATATTATTCTGTTTTATTAGTAAAATTTACTTCTACAAGCATATACATATATAAAACATGTACAAAGATATTTTAAAATTTTAGAAACACAATGTACCATAAACTGACACTTTCTCCAATGTTATTTCTTTGCTTTATTCAAATGCCAGCGTTAGACCATAACAGTGTTCTGGGTTTCATTTGGAGCTTTCCATGATGCTGCACTACATTTATCTTGTGTCACAGTAAAATTACTGCTGACCTCTCAGTACAAATCAGTTTATTACGGTTTAAAATTATTTGAAAGCAAAAGAGAAGCTGATATGACTAAACCAAAAGCAACCTGTTGAAATCAAAATTTAGGCTCCAGTATCACTCAAAACCAATTCCTAATACTAAATAAACAAGTACCTGCATCAATAATAAAAGTTTTTATATAATTAAACTCTCACCTTCTTTACTCAGGGGTCTCCTCACAACGTACTGCCTCACATCATCCTCCTTAGACAGGTTGAAAAGCTTGCGGATCTTGCTGGCTCTCTTAGGACCGAGGCGACGAGGGACAGTGCTATCAGTCAGCCCAGGAATGTCCTTCTCACCTGAACAGAAGGTGAGTGAATACATTAAAATAACAGTTATGCTGAGATCTCCACAGCATACTTTTTAATATGCAATACTCAGTTCGGCCTCATCTAAAAGCTCTTGTACACAAATTTAGATATTTATAAACTGTACAGTATATAGTTTGACCAGGAACACAGTCACCTGATCAGGAAAGTGACCAGTCAGTAAATGGAATTTTGTCAATCCCAGCATTACCACAAATGCACGTAGTTTTTAGTTATCACAATTTTACTTGAATTTACTATTTAAAAAATATCCATTATCTTAACTCGATTCTTCCTTTCAGGGTTATGGGGGCCACTGGTGCCCATATCCAATAATATTAGGGTACACCCTGGACAGGTTTTAAGTCCATTACAGAGCCACAAAGAAAACACCATTCACTCAACTAAGGGCAATTTAGTTACCAGTTAGCCTTACAGTAATTTATTCTGTGGGAGGAAAACCTATGCACGCAAAGAGAGAACATGCAAACTCTACCCAGAAAGGTAAAGTTGGCAGAGTTAAAAAAAAATAAAATARAAATTTGGAACCCATCTTTACCTTTGAGTTGATTCTGTATACCTCTGGTTGCTAGTTTAGTCACATGTGAGCCACAGAGGTGATTGTAAAGAAAGCAGAAGTTGGTTCTTTTAAGTTAAAATTGTGAACATCTTGTTCCACTATGACTACATGGGGTCATATTTAAGAGCACATTATCCAAAAAGAAAAAGTGCTGCATTTGTTTTGAGCACTCAAATTGGGCCACAGCCACAGCCAGGGACAGAGACTATAGCTCATTGTGCGCAGTGCCATCGGCTGCAACCTTCGACCTTTAAAGGGCCTGTTCTCCTCCAGGACTGTAGGCTGTGCAGGTCAGATTCTGGATGACCCCTCTCACCCCTGACACAGCCTGTTTAAGCTCCTCCCAAGGCAGGAGACTACAATCCCTCCGGGATTGTTATTACTAAAAACTACATGCATTGTAAACAAAACAACCCGCCCCCGCCAAAAAAAATAAATAAATAAATTATTAATAATAGTAATAATAAATAAATAGATAGATAAATAGATAAATAAATAGCCATACGACTTTTGAACAAAAGTTAACTCTGGCACAACCCCTGCCACTCTGTTCACCTGTATGA